TAAACAAGTTGAAACTGGTTGGCACATCTCTGAAGAAAGAAATCAAATAAAACTGGCAACTAAAGAGAAAGGGAAGTTGATATTGGCACATCATCACAGAGGTCTCTAGGTAAAACATATGCAAAAGCCCTTAAAATGTAGTTCTTCTTTGAAAAGTGACTATGTAAAATGTCACCTTACTCAACAGATCTATTCCTTGTGTATACTCAGTGTTGCATCTGCTTGCCTTGTAATAAAAGATATGTTTTTATTTTTATTGCTTTTCCTGTTAACTCTGTAGTATCAATACAAACCTACCTTACATTTGTGCTACTGAAGGTTGGTCACTTAACACAGTTTCCAAAGGACTCTTTGCAAAGTGCAAGTTCTCTGTTGGATGGACAGCAGTAAAAGATCACACTGAAGCTATCAAATTCCAGCCTGAGTTTGAATTAGCAGTACCTTCATCTTTATGTCTCCGGTTTTACCTTTTTGAACATAAGTTATCCCAGTCTCTTTGATAGTAACGCTCATATTGAAGTTTTTATTTCAATGGGCTAATATTTCATGACAGAACATAGAAAATGAATTATTGGAATTTAAGCTCACGATTGCAAGTGGAGTAAATCGGGTTTAAGAAGCATGGTACAGGAAGAAGGAGCCATTCAGCTATTTCTGGAATTACTTTCTACATACTATCAGGTAGAAGTGTTGCTCATATTATAGCCCTTTTTAAAAAAAAGACTAATTTCATAGTATTGAAAATAAATTTTCAGTCTTGTCCTTTTGCCTTAAGTGTAAATTTTCTCAGAAGAGTTTTTTATTGCTAATTGCAGGATTAATTTTGTCAAGGCAAGAGGGTTTTTTCTCTCCTTTTATCATGATAGACACTTCATTAGGCATGCTGAAAATATAATTATGCTTGATCACCTACTTCTTACACCCCTGAACATAGTGCAGATATTCATTTATGTATCTACTTGTCTATGTGCTTGCTTAGATTTCTTGCCCTTACTAAATGTAAAGTAGCTGTGAAATATGCAAATAAATGAGAGATATCTAACTATGTGTTAGTCAGGACTTAAAATCGAATTATCAGTGTTATTTGTAAATATGATTACCTGTCCACTAGTCCACCTGTGTTTCTTTTGCAACTTCCATTTCTTTTATCTGCCTTTCTTTTAAACCCTATGAAAGAAGAGAAAAACATGTCCAGAACTGAGAGAGACATGAAGAATTTCAAGCTGGACAACTGGCAGAAGTGCTTTTACAGCACTTTGATAAACTCAGAGCTTAAACTTGAGGTTAAGATGCTGCCTGAGTATCAACATTGTAATTTTCAATCCTCATCAGAAAATGGGATGTTGCAACAATTTTGAGTTGCTTGATGTGAATAAAAATGATTTGGGTATTTTTTCACAAAGAAAATTTCTGAACAGTTTTCGAATATATGGTCATTGACAGATTGGTTGACACAGTGCAAGCACACTTAACTGATGTCACAGCCCCTGATGGGATCACAAAAGTGTTCAAAATTGCCTAGAGAGTGTTAGAAAGGCTTAAGAATTTATTTTGTGATATTCTAAAAAAGCTAAAACTTAACCAGGATGACCGGGGTTTTTTTCTTGGTGTTGCAAATCTGTATGTTGGGGTGATGTGACAAACACAGTTCTTCACATCTTTCTGGTTTTCTTTGTTGGGACCCTGGAAGCATACCTAGTATTTGGCTCCTGGGGTGATTGTATAATCAGATGAGCTAAAAGCCATGTGCTTCCACCAAGCCTGAGAAATGTTGCAGTGAAGCAACTGTGTGCTCAGAAGAGGACATCGGCTTGAGCACCTTCTCTTTTTTAACTTTGCTCAGTCAGCAGCTTGCTGGTGATCCCAGACATCATTTCAGCTAATATAAGAAGCCATCTACATGCAGAACACTGTTCTCGGATATGCCTTTTATCCTAGTCTGCTTTCCTTGTAGCTCAAAGGTTTTTGAGTTCGTGTGTGTGTGCTGAAAGAGGCCTCCACGTGCTCATTTCTCCCTTTTCTTCACTTGTGATACAATAAAAGTTTGTTTGAGAAACTAAACAACTCTCTTTTATGGGTCAGGCTAACTATTTTGGGATAAAGGTAAAGGTTATTCATATGCACAGCTCATACTTTAAATGTGTTTTCTGACATGACTTGCTGCTTATATAAAGAATACACCGGGGGATTCATGACAGTCATTGGGTTTTTTTCCTCCTTTCAAACAAAAAAGTAAATCTGGTCAAAATTTTCTAATCTGGTGGTTGTTCCCATGGTAACATGAAATATGGCTTTATGTGTGTTTGTACTGTAAGCTGACTTGAGATGCTAACGTTAACTACAGTACTTTGCTACCATCTTCTCTGTATTTTCTCTTCCAGCCTTCCTATGCCTAACACTTTGCATAGTATCTGATTGTACTTCTGAGAAACTAGAGTGCTGTGTGTTTCCTTTAGCTCCAGTTCCTTGAATCCTTAGTGAATGGGGTCCATGAGTTGTCGTTGGACAACGAATGTCACCAGTCGTTGTAGTGATTACATGAAATGTCACCTGGAATGACTTGTGTGTGTTACACAGATTGTAAAATTCAGTGATCTGATGATCCCTCTGAACCTCAAATCCATGGGCTGCAGTCTTAGTCTGCACGTCAACATTTCAGGGGGTTTATGTGTTCAGTTCAGTAATACTGAAAATCTGACAGGTCGTGTTTTGATAGCTGGACTTTCACTGGTCTCAAAGAGAAAATATCACACACAGGTTTTGGGGTTGTTTTTTTTTTTTCGTTTTAATGTGGGATCTGTCATGGCTGTGCCAAAAATCTGTTGATGCAATTTCTCTTGCCAGTGCTTTGAATCAGGGATGGGGGGAAAACTCAAAATAAAAACATATGTCATAGAATTTAGGAATTAGATCTAAATTCCAGTTTCTCATGTTGGTGATAAGAATTATTTGTCTGTAGAAAAAAATCTACACCCACCACCTTGAGTTACTGTGATGTGTATTTTTCAACTAAGATATGGTATTAGCAGATAAAGGGTTATTCTCTCCTTTTTGTGTTCATTTTAGAGCTGTAGAAAGTGCTTTTGCAAAACAGTCCCCTGTAAAGACTGAAGAGTGATGGTTATGTTCTTCTGTTAATGACAAATGCATAATACTTATTTTCTGGCTACTTTTATCTCTTCAGAAAAAAACAACCAAAACTGATAGCAATAAATTATCTTGAGCTGCACTAAAGTAATTCTACTAATAATTACTGATAATTACTGCAGATTGTTTTCTTCTAATCTGATATTTGGAAACTGGTTTATACTTTTGCTTTGAATAGAAATTGACTTCAGCAGAAAGAAAGAAGGGTACTGTGTTGGGTCCAAGTATGTGGTAGCTTAAGTAAAGCCTACAAAGGTCTAAAGTTATTGCCAGGTATTTAAATTGGAAAATACCCATTGAATCTAAAAAAAATTCTCAGCTCCTGAGAATATGCACAATTCTGAACATTTCTATTAGTGCTAGGATTGCTGATATAATTTTTTGCTCTTAGTTCTGTCTGTTCTNGCATCATAATCAGGAATGGTTAGTTACCATTCAGGACTGACTCCGAAAATGTCTGAAGAAAGTCAGGCTCTCCAGATTTGATCTGTATTTCCATATGGTAGAGAGCCCAAATGATGTTCTTACTAGTAAACTTGGCAATTTTTCCCCAGGAATGGGGAAGCCTTAAAAATATGTATTAACATTATCAGACTAAATAATGCTTTGAATCTTATAAAGAAGCCACTGGGAGTCAGCCCCTAATTTGAAGGAAATTCAAAATGTGGTAGTAATATTCAGACTTATAAGGACTTCTATGCCAGCAATGTTTTGTGTCCTGAAACTGCTTTTGCTTTGATATTATGGGCAATCTCTTTCAGTATGTGAGCACTGTTGTGGATGCTAGCTTTAGTTTCTGCAGCTTCTTTCACTCTGTTCTCTGTTGATTACCTTGAGACCTTGTGAAGTTCATATCTCATTGCCAGCTATGTCATTAAAATGCAGGTCTCCTTTCTCCATTCTTGCTTAAGTGCCCCAGTAGAGCTGCCGACTACAGATCTTACATTATGTACTTCTTGCCCTTTTAAGTAATCTCCAGATAAATCTGTTCCACCACTTTTTTATTTCCATATAATCAAGCAAGAAATTTTCTATCAGTTATATATTAAATAACTTAATGTTTAGACATAAATTAGGGCTACTACTATAGTTGCAAACTGAGACTTCAGTTTCTTCCTTTGAAAGAAACAATACATGAGAAGGACTATGCTATTACAGATATAATTATTGAGCACACCAAGTACTGTGAATAGAAACACTATCAAATATAGGGTTTTTTTTAAACGATTCAGTGGTATATCTTCTTTCTGACAATGTTTTAATTTAAATGATTATTCATTATAGTCTGAGATAAATACTGGCTGTCTGCCACTTTCACTTCTCCTTCATTATTCCTAATTATCAGAAAAACATAGTAGCAAATTACATGGAGTTTTGTAGTCTGTATTTTATTGACTACTTTGCCATGCCATGTTCAGACTTTAAATTTTTTGCCACTTTTTTTTTCTTATGGAATTCTGTACAGTTGAAAAACCTTTTCTTTTTTCTAAAACCTGATGTTTTTATGCAAAGGTAAAGACTTGGATTTTTGGATGCCACTACTTTGTCTCCTGTCATCTTTGTGCTGATTGGAGGGATTTTGGTTTTTAATTTTTTTCCCCAACTTATTTATTAACTTGATTGTACCTAAAGACTCACACACTGGGAGTAATTGGTAAATTTCTGGAAATTTCCCTACAGATACTTGGATGTTACTAATGATCAAGTATAAATTATGTGGGTTTTCATATGCATTTTAGTTGATTCTGTTCAGAATTGTGCCTATATTTTTACCTTTGTCTTCATTGTTTGGGCCAGGATGTTTGCAGTCCCTTTCTTTTTAAAATAGTTTCTCTTAAAATAGTCTAGTGTTCCCCTCACTAGAGTAACTTATACAGGGATACAATATTGGATCAAGGTTGACTTTTTTTTCCTGAGCACACTTGAGACATGTCTTGTTAGTTTTATTTACGGTAATGTCTGAATTTTGTTGCTGAAAAAATTAGGAGAATATGTAAAAAGTAAAGAGGAAATAACTCTGTACAGAGGCCCAAGAAAGAAAAAAGAGATGACTAAAACTGAAGGGAGGGAGGATTGCACAACTGGCGTGGTAAGCTTGTACTTTTAAGTAAGTAGAAATAACAATGTCATGAAAGTGAGTAATCCCTTTACAGACTGTCCAAAAGATGTTGACAATATATGGAGATAATGGAAGAGTGGGAAGGATCAAATAGAAAGAATAATCTGGAACAAAATTTGATGGGCTTTCTGGGACATGTAAAGATAGGTTTTAAATCTGGTAAATATAATTGAGAAGTATTAAAATGCAGATAAAACAGAAGTCCTAACCTGTAGAGAGTTGTGGGGAAAGGGAATATAAAGAGATTTAGCAGATATCATCAAAAGGAATAAAAACAAGCTGAAGGAACAGTTATTGAAAACTTTATTGAGGTTTTACTGCTTAATAACTGAAAGAGAATCATACAAAAGGGTGACTCTCTTTATGGATGTAGAAATGCAAGAAAATAAACTTACAAATTATTAAACAGTATATATAAGAAGACAAAAAAAGTTGGAAACTAGAAGTGAGATGCACAATCTGCAGTGCTACATTAAAGTGAGAAGATGAGAAAAACTCTGGAAGGAGATGTTCCATAAGGTATGGACTTCTGAGGGACTTGAGTCTTACAGTTGATCTGAGGATTATCTGGGACTTTTCTGTAGTTGAAGTGTGTACACTGTTACATCTCTCTGTGGATTCTTCAATTTCAGGTTTGGATCTGGGCTCCATTCTTTTAGAGAGTGGGTCAGTTAATGTAATTACAGTCCTCTGCACACTTGTTGATTTTCTTGAGACTTAGAGTTTAGTATATTGAAAGCACATCTCTTCTGCCAAATTACTGAGTAGATAGAGTCAGACAGATGAAGTCTCTTAGTGCATCAAGTCTCTTTTCTGCTGGAAAGAGAGGAGGAGACAACTAATTTGACTTAGATCCTTATCACAAAACCTTTTTTAAGTGTTCAGGGACTGGCATTTCAAAGGAACTATTGGTTCACAATGTACATTGTGAAATGAAGCCATGAAAATGTTGGCTTAATACACCCTAAACCACAGGTACACAGCCCAATTGTATCTCCTGTGTCAGAAAGTAGAACAATGAGTGAAACTTTAGGAGCTATGGTAAATTGTGTTTTGATTAAGAAAATCAAAATCTGTAATGCTGAGTGTTTTAAAATCACAGTGTTCTTAGGCATAAAAGTTAAATGACTATTTACTAAAGTGCCACAGAGAACTGACTCTGAAAAATAAATGTAACACATAAAATTTCCAGCAGAGATTGTGTATGGGAAAGTTAAGATCAAATATGCAGAAACTTTCTACTCTTATACCATGTGGTCATGCACCTGTAAAAAAGAAAAAATATGATGTGGGAAAGGAAAGATAAATACTTCATTGTAGTGAAGCAAATAAACACAATAATATAATTAATGTCATAGAAGACCATAAAATATACCTTGTAAGCAAATGAAAGAACAGAATGATAGAAGATCCACACTAAGAAAACCCATAATTGTTTGCAAAACAGATGTGTATTTATGGTAAATACACTGGTAGTCAGGTAATGCTTTGGTAGAATAACAGGTAGGCAATTAAAACAAATAGAACAGGAAGTACCCTGCAAACACAAACTAGACAAACTAGTTATTCACAAGCAGTGTGAATAACTGCTCACATAAATCTCCAGGAGCAAAAATTGGGGCAGTGTACTTTGAGCTAGTGCAGGGTTGCATTCCTAGTTCAATGGTCTAGACAGCTGGAGGCCATTCTAGACTTCAGCCAATTAAACAAATTAAGTATGAGACATAGGATGCAAAGATTAAAATTAATTATGAAAAGAAATGGATGAAGCAGATTGTATAGACAGAATTTCTTCATTGCATCTCATCTGTTGAGCCTCAGTGCGGTTGTTACTTTTAGCAAGCTATTCTGTGGTTATTTTGCTTAAATGGCACATCTAGTTTGATCTGCTGTCTGAAAGATAACAGGCTGCCCTTCTCAAGTGTCTGGAAAGCAGCTACTGCACTGAAGGTGTGAAGCAGATGCATAAGTATTAGTTAGCAGTGTGAAGAGTAGAAACCAACCTTGCACAGCTACTTTGAGTGTTATTCTACAGGAGGACAGGTTTGTTTTCCTTCAGAGGAAAATTTTCTCTTTGAGAAAATCTGCAAGGTGTCTTGTCAGCAGTTTTGCTAATTACATAGGTGAGGCAGCTATGGCAGAAGCTGAGAGAGCAAATTAACTTCTACCTCTAACTAGCACAGGATACTGAGATGGAGGGTAATTTAAGAAGAAGTGAGGGATTACAAAATAATATCCTAAAGCAATCCCTCTAAGTATTCTATAACTGTACATATTAACTTTCTTGATCAGACATGGTAGTGTTTTAAGATCTGATCCTATAATACAGTACTTTGTATATAGAGTTTTGAAGAGGGTATCTCCATTTTTCCCATCATTATTCGCCACATCAATGACTTTTTTTTGTAAATCTGAACAGTCTATTTTAATTGAAAGTTTAATTTAAATTATAACGTGGGATTGTCATTTAAATGAAATACAACAATTGGGGATTAATGTTAGATGAAAGGGAGTTTAAATGGAAATAATCTAACTGGATGTAATTTAAACATTTTAAAAAGAAAAAAAAGTTAATTAGGGACAACCAACATGAATTTGTGAGAAGGCCAGCCTGCGTAGAGTGTTGAGATAGCAAACAAAGAAGACTGAGTGGATGTTTATTTTGACTTCCAAAAAGAATGTTAGAAATTAGTCACATCCAGTACTGTTGGCTAAGGTAGGAAATCTTGTTGCTTATGTAATATGGTATGTGAAATAGAAAACTCCCCCATTAAGCAAACCATAGCAATAGAATATAACAATTATTTTAATAGTCAGAAATTACTAGTGCTTACTGTAGGGAATGATTGTGGGTCATCTAACTTATAAACATATAAAAGTTTCCATTATTGCATCACTGTGGTTATGAATTCAGGAAATGAAAACGATATGATTTGTAAGGTAAAGTTACTTGCCTGTGCTGTACTTCATGTGTTTGCTATAGCTTTCGAACACACTTTTAGTACTGTTGGTTCAGCGGACAAACCAGATTTGAAGTGTTCCTTTCCTGCAAAACATTCCCCCAGGGAGTTTGAAGAAGTTCTTATCTCCTAGGGGAACTCTCCTGGCATCAAAATCTAACAGGAATAGAGAGCTACAGGCTTGTTGCTGTCATAATCCTATCAACACAAGATTTTTTCTTTTAAGATGGTCTGAGCAGTCTGTCACTGTATTTTGGAGAACTGGTTGCTGCACAAAAGTAAGTTGGTTGGCAGAAGCTCAGTCAAAAGAAAAGAAAGAAAATACTGGTTCTAGTTTAAGGGAAACTACCAGAAAATTTGGTGGAAGTATTCATGAGCTACAAATCCTACTGGATTTCTAGCTGTTGGCAATGATCAAGTAGCATCAGTGGCCAAAGAAACATTTTACCATCTGTGTTTTTATAGGAGACTGAGAGTGGAGCACTGTCTAGTGCAGACTTCTTTTGTCTGCTTGTGATTAGATGTTTGCAACATGCATTGTATTGAACTGCATTCTAACCCACCTTCATAACTCAGAGCTGGTAAGGAACATGGTAGGCTCCTTATTTAAGTGGCTTTATCTCCAACAATTGCTTTCACTTAATACAACAGGTGAGTTTTTCTTGTCATTACATGACTCCAGAAACTGGGGTGTGAAAAAAAAAAATCAGCAAATATCCTGAGACATGATAAAATTGTGAGTTAATAATGCTGGTGGTATTCTTGGAGTGGTATTTAAAATATTGACTTTGGCCTGTGGAACACCTGCAGGCTTGGAACTTGTCTAGGCAGTTTATTCTAGCAGTGAGCAATGGGGGAGCTCAAACAAAACATCCCCATTTGAATGAAAGCAATGACTGGCAATGCTCCATCAATACTGCACTTCAATTTTCTCATTGCCCTAATTTTATCTTACTAAGTTTATTGCAGGAATTAGAAGTGCTTGTAGAGACCTTATGGGCTTTGGATTCATTTTCCTACAACCATACTGACAGTTGTATGCCATTACAATGCTGAATCTGTCTTCCTTCTGAATCTCTAGGAAATTTCTACAGATTGAAAACTTTTGATAGACATTTGCTCATATTCACGTTTTTCATATATTTATTTTTCAAATAAAGTTAAAAATCTTAGCTTTAGTTCAGGGAGCTGTAAAACCAGCTTTTATTTAACGTGTTATTGAGAACTGTAGAGAGTGCACTGTGGTTCTGTGGAACCTCAGCTCAGGCGTTTTATGGTTACTACCGAAATGTACATTTAGTATTGAAATGCACACCTACCAGAAAGTGTTTGAACATTAAAATAAATGTCACTCAAGTTCAGACCAAAAATAATATGTATTACCTGATGCAGCTTTTAGAAAACATAAAAAAATAACAATTTAAAAATTAAGCTTTTGCTTGAGACTTTGAAAGAAATTATAAAGAAATAATTACTTGTAACTGTAAAAATTGTCCCAGCTTATGAGCATAGTTGACATTTCACTTCCCTCACACCTCCAAAGAGGTGCATAACAGTGGATAAGTCCCTTGAAAATCCATAATACATGTCCTTCAAGTCTTCTAACAACACATCTGGGTAATGTTCTCCAAGTCTTTGTAGACTTGGAAAGTCTTTTCACACTTGTACTTGAGAGTCAGACTGCAGGCCTCAAAAAAGTTTTGTGCTAGAGAAAAGCGTGCATGTGTACTGCCTTGCATAGCCTCAGTCACGGTGTGTGACCAAGTATACTGCAAATTTGCTAATAATAAAAAGAATTGCAGATGTAGCAAACAAGAAACAGTTCAATTGTGTTATGTCAAGAGATCTAGATATCCAAGACAGTGTAGAGACACTGCAGCTTCATCAGACATTCATTGTGTGAAGGCTTGCTGCCATAAAGGAAAGAGGTGTGGTTAAGTTACACTTAAAGAGTACAGGCTTGTTTGTGGTGGTATTTAATTTGCTGACTGCTCGTAGTCAAACAGAATTTTGCTTATTGCTTCTACTCTTGGCAATAAATTAAATATTGGAATCAACAACTTGTTACTACTTATATCTCTTGTGAGTATCTAAGTGACAAGCAGACATTGCTTCTGGGTGAGAGTGGGAGGACAGAAAATAGCTCACTGTTTCAGTGTGTGGAAAAGGAATCCAAAAGAGATTTGAAGGTCTACTGTATGCTAGCCACAGGGGTTTTTTTCCTTTTTCTTTTATCAGGGAGGCTAGTTAGAAAATGAAGTATACCACTTAAGCATATTATTTCACTGCATGAGCAATTGTGGTAAGATGAAACATTGCACAGACGAAGTGATATGATGTTTTTAGCATTTCTGTCTTCTCCCTGATGCTTCAGCTTTGCCTTAAGACAGCAGACTTTCTTGGGCAGTGGTGGCAGCAAAGCTTGCTTTGAATACTGAGCACTGTAACTGCCATTCCTAATTCAGCTAAAGAAAGCATTGTCTTCATTGGTCCAATTACTTTTTAATGGGTTTTGTCTACATTTCTAAGCAATCTTGAACCTGATTTTCAGAGTCAAGTGTTGAGAATATCTGATTTGAGATACGGCAAAATCCCTTCCCTTGCTATTAGTTAAGATGAGAAGCTATATCCCTTGTGAATTCAAATAAACAATTTATAAATTACTGTACTGTCATCTGTAAGTAAACATGTGAAATATTTTGAATAGAAGGGGATCTTGAATGTGAGGGAGTGAAATACAGAAATAATTTTGCATAGTCCAATAAGTGCTTGGGGGGACAAAAAAGGACAGTTGCAATGGAACATGAACTTGCTACAGGTCAGCTCATTCATGATCATAGTCCATGCCCACTTAGTCTTCAGCAAACACAAAGTAATCTAAATGAGTTTAGTTCTCAGAGGATGTAAACCATCTTGAATTTGTCATGGGCCAGGGTAAATTGTCAGCATGATGCTCAAAAATATAGTATCTCTTTTTTCCACAGTGACTTACTCCTGTGTTGAAGCTTCTGCAATTTTTAAAGCTAGACTAGACATCTTGCTTAAGGTTTGGTTGTATTTCAATGCAATAATAGCCGAAATTTGTACAGAAACTCTGTGGATTGTCTGTAAGACCAGAAATTGTCATAACTGATGTAAATGTCAGTCTGTCAAATCAGTGATTGACATAACTGTTCTTTCTAGCTCAGTTACTTCTCCTGCAGAAAGGATTTTAAGGCCAAGTCTAGTTAGCATTCTACATTGAAGCTTTTAAGGTTATTTTAGTGTTGACTGTGCAAGACTTGGGTTTAAGCACATATGTTTACATTATAAAACCTCTTACTCTGAGCATTAATTAGTAAATGTGACCCTTCACAAACACAGAACTAGATACTAGAAAAAGCAACAAATTCACTTGTAAGAAATTGATTTCTGCATGATTACGTCACAGTATTTTTAACCCTGAAGCAATACAAAATTTTAAATTGAAATCGAACAGTAAATCTTTCCTTAGAAAGATGCACACTGTACTGTCTGCATCATTACTGAAACCATTTTACTTTGAAGCACAGAAGGAACACTTAATTTTTATTTACTATTATGAAGGAAACCCTTTCATTACAGGGGGGGAAAAAAACCTGACAAATATGAAAATATGACTGTGATTTGGGCAAAGTTCCGGAGACGGGAAAGAGTGATGCTTTTATCTTCAGAGAGCCTTTGACTGCTGCATTTATTCCATTAATAACTCCAGTGTGTTCAATGTCATACTTTGTACATTTGTCTCTGTGTCTGGCCTTTGTGTAAACTACAAGGGAAGGTATTTTGATGTTTAACTCAGCTGGGAAAATTGGTTAGTAAAATGCTGTGTCTTATTTCCCTGGATTGCAGGGAACACCATGCTAAAGTTCAGTTTTGACAAATGTGTTCTTTCATACTTTTTTCTTTCCCATTTGAATTTTAAACCCACTGTATAAAAAAATCTAATTGAACAGAAGTCATTGCTAGTTATGTATACTTATGAATAGTTTCATCTGTAGTTTCAGATGAAGGCTTCAGTGAAATTATTTGATCAGACAAACTTAACACTGCTGGGTAGTCTGAAGGAAAGGTCAGATCCTACCCATATATAAAAGGAACTGAGTAATGAAAGCACTTAACTGTGAGCTTCAGTAAAGCTTTGTGATCGAACTCACCATTGACACCCATGGACTCATTCTGTTCTCTTCAGTATTTATTATTAGATGTAGGTTTGCCTGTTGAATGCAGGGGTGTAATATGCAAATGCACTGTAGGACCTATTCAGCTGTTTCTTGTCTAAATTTCAGCCAAATGGATGAGTGGAGAATGTCTGTGGATACACATACAGAGGTTTAATGCTGAACAAAATTGTAATGACTCGTAGATTAATTTCAAAAAAACAAGTGAAGAAAAAAACTTGTCAGCTAACATTATTTTGCATTATCTACTGTCGTTGAAGTGAAAGGATTCCATCTATACAGACTAATTTATGACTACTGGAGGACAATAAATCATAGGACCTGGAACTTCCATGTCATTGGCCATGCCAGGATTTTGGAATGCTCTACAGATGTTAATGTGAAAATATAGCCTACCTAACCCTGCCTTCCAAAACCAAAGATAAATGAGATCTCTGTGTAACTCAATAAACTTCAGTCTGATCTCACTGCATTGATTCTTAGCCACATGCTTCATGGTTATAAAAAGGCTTTAGAAAGGAGATTGCTGAAACATGCAACTCCTCCTTCCAGTACATGAAAAGTCGTTCTGGTTAGCTTAAGACTGTATTTAGATTTTTATTATACCATACCTTTTTCACCAAAGGTGTGTTCTTCACAATTTCTGTTAACAAATTTCTTTATAATGCTCTGAGTTTTCAAATAATTTGATGAATGTAACTTATTTCTCCTTCTCAAAAGTTGGTCAAAATAAGTGTTACCTAAATGGTACAGACAGGGAAATACAGTTTCTAGTTGCCTTCGCTGGGAATAGGATTAGCACACAAACTTTTACTCATCCAAAACACTTGACAGTGGTACAGCAAGGGTTAGATCTACAGAACTAATAACAAGTCTTTTAAAATATGGAGTTGAGGTGGTTTGAAGCTGGCTCCCTGCCAAGTCTCCAAACCTCACGAGAGAGGCAGCTAAAGCAATATATATAAATATACTTACACTTATATTACATTCATATACAATTGAAATATATGTACAATTTTAAAAGGAAAAGGGAAGGGGGAAGGAAAAAAAAGGAACAAAAATAAAGTACAGTATACACGATCAATAGCCCAAGATCTAGCAACTAAAAGAATTAGCAAAAGAATATTTTACTACTCTCCTTGGGACAACAGAAAGTTGCGCTGGAACGATCACCGGCAACCTCCGTCTCCCAAGGTCAGCAAGGCCTCACCAGGCCTCACTCCCCAACAGGACAGACTCAACAGCAGGGAAATCAGCACCTCCAAAGCCACCAGAAGGAAAAAGGGATGAAGGCCTCTCCTCCTTTCTTCTTATACCCCGGCTTACGTAAAAATCATAGGGAATACCGGGTAATCTGGGCACTTCCTTGGTTACAAACTGGTCACCAAGGAAGGCCTAGACTAAACTACCCTACCACAGGAGTACTCACTAATTCCATACCCTGAAGGGTGCTCCTGAAAAATTGAGGTGGTCATTTCTAATGAGTCCTAACTAAACTTTTTATTTCAAAAGTGTATTTTATAATACAATAGCATCTTACTTTATGCAGGTATCTCTTTATGGTGTGATTTAGAAAAATGTTTATAATTCACAAAATATGTGATTTTAAACTATGCTGAAAAAGCCACATGGAAATTATGGTAACAGGTTAGAAGACATGGAGATACTTGAGGGAAAATATATGGATTCTTAACAACATTTTAAGACTGTGTGATAAGAACAGGAGTTTTGCTCAACTGCTTATGTTAATGGGACTTTTTGTTTCCGTGTTGGTGCATAAGATTAGTGTACAAAAACTTAGTAATATCAGAGATCCATTAATACATCAATACTTGCTCTTATGCCACCCTCATTGTCCCTGAACATCTCTGTCAGTCACAGATTTTCCATCTGCTTAAGATTTTATGCCCAGGTACCAAACAAAGCTAGAAAAATTAGAACCTGGAGGACATATGGTCAAGGAACATGGTGAGCAATCCTGTGCCTTGGTATCATTGCAATGATACCTCCTGCAAAGTGAGCCTCTTGGCCCACATTGACTCCTTACTGAGATCCTAAGTAAAATCACATGGCTTTTTTTTTTTTTTTTTATTCTTAATGTTTATAATCTGTTTGATTCCCAAGCATGTTGTTGGTGAAAACAAGCTGCAGTTTAGTCTGGACTCTTACATAATGCTTTACATAAATTCAGCTTACTTCTGTTATCCATCATGTGAAAATAATCTTCCCATAACTGAAACAGGGCTGACTGCTAAGAAACCCAATATCAGTCTGTAAATTTAAAAAGGCCTTGTTTTCCCCTTTTTTATATACCCAAAGTGAGAGGAAAAACAACCAGGAAGTTTGGGAGGTCTACACCTTGCTGACTGCCAAGGTTGTATTGTCTGCATGAGTTCCTCCACTTCAGTTTGTAGCTCAGCTGTGGATATCTTTTGGTAGTTTTGAGAGATGCTTAAGCTATTTATGGCCTTTTGTACGATGTGGAATATCCTGCACTCAGGAAGCCTCTGAAAGTCAAGTCCAACAGGCAGCTATCCAGAGTACAAAGTTAAAGCACATACTACTATTGTTTTTAACCAAAGTAATGTTAATAATATAAGGCAGAATGGTATGTGATAGAAACCTAAAGGCTGCCGTGCTCATCATGTAGCAGCTTAATTACTAGTGCGTTATACCTGAGGAACATTCCCTCCTTCTCTGCTAAAGCACTCATAAATGAACTGTACCCCATAGGCTTAAACTTGCAATCCTCCACTGAAGTGCAGGGATTTTTGTACTTCTTGATGTTTTAGCTTCCTAGTCCTTTTGGAATTTTTCTGGTTAATTTGCATGGGTAGAAATCTACAATTGGTGTCCATGGGTTAGTATTTTCGTTAATGATTTTCTATCTCTTTTTAATTTTTATTTAATGTCATCATATAGTTGGTTGGCTCCCTTATTTAAAGAGAGAGAGACAGACTTTTAAATGCCATTCTAGTCTTTCAGATTTTACTTTATTTTTCCTTATCAAATTTGGAAAACCAAAGTCACAAATTCTGATTTCCAGATCTGTTTCATTATCCTGATATTTTTCCTTATTTACGTTAGATCATGAGAGGAATGTAGCCCCACAGGAACATTTGCTGTGTAGTGTTGCTCTGGCTAAGTTTTTGCTCTTTTAAAGGAATTCTGTTTTATTGTTAATCAAAATGGTGCTCCCCTTCTACCATCTGGCATAATCCTCTTGCTTAAAAATAATTGCATTTTTAAATCTGGTTTTATAAAGCTTGCTTTTAATTTTTATTCAAATATGGGACAGAAAATTCTAGTTGTATTCTCTTATTTAGGGAACTGATGTATGACACTGTTGAGTAAGAGGAATTGCCCATAATCTAGGGTGCTTTGCTCTTGGACTGAGTATTTTTATGTGCTGCCACATCCAAAGACTTATGATTTTCTTAGATACTTTAGCATCACTTACTGTACTCAGAAAGTATGGGACATTCTTTTTATTTACTGAAACATCTCATCATGGACTTGAATTGTAACAATGATGACTTCTGTTTGTTGAAAGGATTTAAAAAGTAATTCTAAATAATTATTTCTTTTGAAATCTTATTAACACATTATGTGAATATAGGTTCAATATAGATCTTTTGATTTGCAAGACTATGTAGTGTGGTTTATGTTTAAATGGGGGAATATATTTGAAGTCTATTTTATGGTTGAAAATGTACAGTAACTTTCTTAATTTTGTAACATTCTTACTAATTTGCATTAATCCTCATTTCATTTTCCTCTCACTTTGTATTCCTATATGATATATTTGGTTTTATTCCTGTTAATAAAGGCGTTGTCCGTAGGTGAGCAACACAGAGTTGCTCTTAGTGAAATGGGAGTATACAGAGTGACAGTGAGGTTCATGTAGTTGTCTGTACATTGCCTTCAGTAGACAATTCATTGCTCTGATTAGCATTGTGTTTCAGTTAATATATAAAAAACCTATGTATGACACACAACATGAAATGGAATAGAGTAGATTGTGTTTCAGATGAAAGCTTTACTTTGGATCTACAAGACATGAATTGCACTGAGTCACACCAAAGACTCATTTTTTGAAGTGTCCCTTTCTGACTATGGTCAGCTCTCAGTACCATCATACAAGTGTAGGCACACAGTGATGTCTCAGCCATTATCCTCTCCCAGCTTCCAGTAGTCTTTAGGGATTTCCTAGTTGTGTTGCATTCACACCTTTCCACTTAAAAGATGCTTCTTCCATGCATTTCTCAACTTAATTGGTAAATGTATTTATACTTCTGGCATCCATAGCATTCTGTGGCAGTGAGTTTCACAGTTTGGTTGTATTTTGTGTATGGGAAATCCTTTTAAAGGACCCATGTTCATGAGTAGGTAGTTTCATTGAGGGAAATTTAGACACTGAGAATATTAGCTGGGGAAAAACATTTACAACATGCAGTCTCATTTAACTAGATCACTCTGGTGTGGTTATATTTGGTTTTAGATGTCTAATTTCCCTTTGTCCATTTGTTACATATTGTGTATGGCTTGTATAAGAGGAAACAGATGTGGTGAAAACACTGAAGTTGCTTCTCTCCATAAGTTACATTTTCAAGTAAATTTTCTCCTAATAAAATGTTTAGTAATTCCAGTTACGAATAAGAATCAAAAAATAATGCTAGGCACCAAACACTCATCCTATTACATTTTTTGGCAGATGAAAGTGAAGCAAATGCTCAAGTATGTGGGCTATCCTAAAATTGGCATTTTTTAGGAATACTACAAACATTCCATATGTCTTCTGATACAACAGTGTATGAAGTCATTTATTACTCTATATGTACAAGTAACTAGGTGTTATGTATCATATGACATTTGAGGGTGAAAAAGGAAATTGTAGGAGGGAGACAGTTTTCCCTCTTAGCTCTGTGAGAAGTTGTTTTTATGTAGGTAGATGTGCATTTGTGTATGAAGGAGAAAAATTCTCTCCTTCCTGAAGTAAAATGAAAGAATTTTGGGTTTTAAATGTATAGATAAATGTAAAGAAAAATACCTGAGAACATGCATGCTGCAGCTGCATTAATATTGTTTTTAAGGGGGAAGTGTTCTTGCCTCTATACCCCCTTTCATCCTGCCGCAATTTCATCTTATTACAGAAACACCCTGATACTGTGTCAGGCACAGATGACTGTTGATGGGTGATTTTTAATGGTCAGTATTGCCACATTGAGTAGATTTTATCTCTTTCATAGAAATTACTTCTTTCTCTTCTGGTTGTTCAATAAATTATTTTGAGAAAAGTTAATTTGCTTTTTTGGAACCTATACTGAGGTTCTGCCCTGTGTGTGTGGCTTCCAGTAAGTACATGAAATAAGATCTTGGTGGTATGTGGGAGAGAGGGCTTATGCTTCAGGCACATTTCTCTCTGTAGGTTTCTGTTTCTCTGCTAATCTTCTACATCAACAACAAGTGACAGTGACCAGTTATACTGAAGTTCTGTGTGGACCTGTGCCTAAGTGGCTTTTGTATAATAGGGTTTTTTTGGTTGTAATTGTTGATTTTACATTATCGGTTGGTAGATGTAGGCTAACGTGGTCTTCCTTTGGAGCATGCTATGGTTTGTGTTCAGTGTGAGCTGCATTCTTTTTTCACTTTGTAATAGATAACACAGGTTAGTTTGATGCATAATTCTGTTTTATTTTTAGTTGTGTGGATGCATTTCAGCTGTGGGGTGATTTGGCCATCTATGGAAATGTTTTCTTTGCCCAAATGATTTACAGTCATCTTCCCAAAAAATGATTCAAAACTGTGTACAACAAAGAATGTCAGTACTATTTTTTTCTGTGTCCATGTTAAAAACTAGCTGTAGAGAATACATTTGAAAGTAGCTTTCTAGCTACTGAAATTTGGTTTCATGTAGCTAAAGTGTGGGGG